GTCTGACCAGTTGATCACATTTCCAGTTTATTGTGCCTTCATAATCACATAATCAGATGAAAAAAGATGCGAGCCATACTTTTAAAGAGGAACACAAACGTGGCATCATTTGGATTACAGGGTTTCGTTTTTCCAGACTGAAATGGCTCAGTAATGCAGAACATCTTCCAGGAATGCTTCAACCATGATGATTGTGTCCCACCATTGTCACACTGTGCTGATCGTAGCCACGGTAGTAGTGTTTTACGTTTTGTTTTTTCCTTTGAACAAACAACAACACACATGCATTCATACACAAATACACACATTCTCACACAAACTAGTGTTCCCATGCTCCTCACTGGTCCTTGTTGAGGTTGAGAGCTCGATTAACAGCTGAAGACAAAAGAGAAAGAAACATGAATTTTTTTTCCCCGCTAAAGACTCATTTTGAAATACTCAAACCAGCCAATGAAAGAAGAAGTAGGCTCAATTGCACGCAACCAGTTTTCCTTAGAATCACGATATTTGGTCGTCGAGTCTGTCGTAAGATATATTAAAAAAAAAGCCTCAGACACATGACTGAAAGGACATAGGAAGTCTGCCATTTTGGTTTGAAAACCATTTCAGAGTGGTACGCATCTGAATTTAAAAAAAAAAAAAAATCTCCACTGATGGTTTCGCTGAGCAACAAAAAGAGGCGGTTTGGTCGATGATGAATAGAGCCGTAAAAATCTGATTGAATAGACACAGGAAGTCTGTCATTTTAGACTCAATTGCGCCCAAAGCTAGTTTCACCGAACACCATGAAATTTGGTAGTCACGTTCAATGAAGTGACACGAGGAGACCCACAAAAAAAGACTCAAACACCCAGACTCATCACTTTGGCTTCAAGTCGCCATTTTAGTGTCATTTTTGCCATTTTGCATAGCTCCTTCAACAACAAAGTTCTCCTTCTTCTTTCAGTGTGATGGCGACCAAATTTGCAACAGAGTATTAGACAGCTGGCAAGCTACCGTAACGAACGTTAAGAGTTTTGCCATTGCGTGCGAGTGGAGTCTGAGGACCCGCCATGTAACAGGAAACGACAAGCCTGCGCGGTTTTGGACTTGCCGCACCGCAAACTCCGACGTACCACTGTATCATGGACAACCTGTACTTCTGGGTGGCAAAATCTCTAACGTCACCGCTGATGAAACAAACTCCTTTCACGCCATGAAACCGAAGCAAGGTGACCGAGAAAACCGGCAAGTGGTCGCGAATGCTGAACGTCTTGAATGTCGTCTTCTCTACCGCCGTAGTTTGACAGTCTCAGATGAATGGCGCAGCCGGGAAAGCTGCTTCAGCGCTGACGTTAGCTACCACGCTAGCCAC